GTATACAGAGGAGACCGTGGATGGGGGTAGTAAGAAGAGCAGAGGGGTGAAGAATGGAACCGGTTCAGTGAAGACTCTTCTGAAGAAGAGGGTTTGGAGTCTGGATTTGCAGGAGTTTAGAGAAGGTGACTCTCTGATATCCTCGGGGAGAGAGTTCCAGAGCTTGGGGGCATAACAGGAGAAGGCCCTGTCGCCCATACAATGTAGACGGGCTGGGGGGACAGTAAGGAGACCAGAATTCTGCCTGGCCGCCCCAGAGCCAGCAGCGCCGCTGTCCTGTGGGATCCTGGAGAGTGGGGTATCCCTGTGGCGGCCCATGCTGCCGCTGTTGGGGATACAGGGTCACCACATAACCGCCATGGCTACCCCCTTCGTCCGCTGGCCTCGCCCCCGCCGCACAGCTGGCACAGCTGGGGCGCAGCCTCTCCCCCGTCGCCCTGGCGCTCCGCGTTGCGGGGGCACCCTCCCAGGCCGGCTGCTCGCGGCTCTGCTCTCCGCACCATTCCGGCTTTTACAGGGCCGTTGAGGAGAACGGGAGCCGACAGCTGCGCGGGTCACCCCAGGCCCCGGTGAGGATAGTTCAGTGACGAGCTGCAAAGCAGGGGGGCGGGAGAGCAGGGCCTGCAGTCGGGGCAGTGCTGGAGTGAAGCAGGGAGAAGCAGGCTGACTGACGGGCTCCTGACGGGAGGCCCAAGCGCCCTGTTTCCCTGGCTGCGCTCCCAGCTGGACTGTGTCACAGAGCTCTGCTCTCCCAGCCAGAACGTGCTTCCTGTCACTGCATTCCAGAGCTGCACGTCCTCCCCTCGCTCTCCCAGACACGTCTGAGGAGCCGGAAAGAGGAGGAGGGAGGGAGGGAGGGAGTGGAACTGTAGCCAACACACTTGTCCGTGGACGCACAGCCCTGCCGGGCTGGAAGAAGCAGGGGGAAAGGAGAAAAGGCCCAGGAATAGCCAGGAAAATGCAACGCACCCTGCAGTACAGCACCAGGCTTGAAAACGGAGCCGACACAAACACGTGGGCAGCTGGTGCCAAAGCTACTTCCCAGCTCCCCGCTGCAGAGGCTGCGTTCCTGGTTCGCTCGCCAGGCTTGTCTTGGCCCAGTGACACCCAGCCGGCATTGCCAAGCAGCTGTGGGTCCCCGCGCCCCCCCCTCGTCAAGAGGCTTGGCGGGCGACAGCTGGAAGAGCCATTCATTGCAGAGACAGAGATGCCAGTCTGTCCTGCCGTCTCTGGGCTGGGTGAGCTGGGAGCGCAGCCAGCTGAAGACGGGCTCCTGGGGATCTGGGGAACAGGCTTGCAGGGTCGGTGGGGTCTGTCGGGCCCTGGGGGCGTCCGCGTCCCCAGGAGGAGGTACTCATAAACCTTGGTGCTGCCGTTTGAGAGCTGGCGAAAAGATGTGTGTTGGCAGGATTTCGTCTTTGCTTCCAGACTACCGGTTTGTGCTCTTAAGAGTGCTTACTCCTGTTCAGACAAAAGAGGCGGGGAGACTGTAATCACTTTTCACACCCCTGGTTTGAATAACGCAGCTCTGCCCAGTTTGTGACACAAGAGGGGCAGTTAATTTAGAGAATATACAGATGCTCACCCACGTATATCTGAAGCAGTTGTGCAATCTAGGTGAGGGAATTTATTAACCCTTGCAGGTGACACTTGTTCACTGTGATGAGCAGTAGTGCGGGTGCTCTGTGTGAGTGTGAAGCAGGCCTCGCACCTGCAGCCACCTGCCGGGCTGTGTGGAGGCGTGCCAGTGAGCCTCTCGGCCGCCCCTGTCGTCTCCAGGTGAACGGCTGCCTCCTGGACCCGCTGCCCCCCTCCACCATCCGCAAAGCTGGCCCCTCGTCGCCTAGCAACATGATGGAGACCTCCATCGACGAGGGCATCGAGACGGAGGAGCCCGACTCCGAGGAGGACCCCTGCCAGGCCTTCGCCGCCTTGCACACCTCCCGCTTCGGCCAGCGGCGCCACACGCTGTCCGAGGTCACCAACCAGCCGGGCATGGTGCCCAGCGCAGGTGGGTCTCGTTTCTTAGCACCAGAGTGTCCGCATCAGGTCTGGCGGTCTGCAGGCCAGCAGCTTGACCGCTCTGTGTCTCCGCGCGGCAGGAAAGCTCTTCAACGTTGGCCACAACCCCTCCCTGGGCAGCGTGGACTCCGAGTACGACATGGGCTTCGTGCACAGTGACCTCAGCCTTCTGGAGGACACCCCCGCGCTCAACGAGGTGGTCCTGGCCAACACCTCCATCACCCGCATGACCCCGCCTTTCATCGGCGCGCGGCCCGCCAACCCCGCCATGCAGGCTCTGAGCTCGCAGAAGAGGGAGGCGCACAACCGCTCGCCCATCAGCTTCCGGGAAGGACGCCGCGCCTCCGACACCTCCCTCACGCAAGGTAACGGGAGGCGGGGGAAGGCGGCCCACTGTGAGCCTGGTCAGCGCCTGGAGGGGAGACTCCTGGGAGAGCTGAGGCTGCTGCTGGAAGAGGTGT